GTCGATTAACTGCGGCAAATTGATCGAACTTGCTTCGCAAACGGTCCCGGTCTGGACGATTTAAGCATTGCCCTGAAAAATGAAAATAACATTGCCGAATTAGTTTAGCGGGAACGCCGTGTGCGGCACGCCGGCGATATTCGAAGTGGAGAGGGAAAAAAAGACAAGAAAAATAGTCGGGGGAGCAACGTCTACGGAATCGTGATCGGCCAAACGCATTCCATCGCGCAGCATTCCCTCTAAATGTTCTCTCTTTCTACCAGAAAACAAAAGCGCGCTAACGCGTCGAAACGCTAGAGATGCTTTCGTGCCTGACGCGAACCGTCCGCTGGAAACGGTGAATAAATCTCTGTTTTGAATTTCAGATCGAATTCCAGAATCGTATTACCGTTGTAATGATTTGTTGTTTCTCTAATACACGTTTCTTCCGTGGATTTCAATCGACTGATTCTAATATTATAAGAAACAATAGAGTTCAAATATCGATCACTGAATTGTGAAATTAGTTATTAGAAACTTTAACCAAAGTACAATTTAAAGTTCTAAAATAAATGTCTAGATTTAACTTTCCTCAGTGTACTGAAATTTCTTTTTTTAATTATTAATTAATAAAAATGAATTATTAGAATTTTAAGCAAGATTTTACCAATTGAAGATCACAACACGAATTTTCTGTTCTCGATTACGAACGCAGTCTTTGAATATTGAAAAATTCATCAGATTCCATAATTTCATTTGGTCTTTGTAACTCAATTGTTTTTTGAATAAAGACAAATCGTTATAGATGAACGCAATATATTTCACCAGTCGAAGAGCACGATTAAAATAACGCCGAACTGTTATTCTCGATAATAAACACAGTTGCTACACCGAGAAATTGAGAAAATTCCGCAACCACTTTATTCCCCCTTTCCAGCGAACGGTTGATGCTCGTGTAAATAGATGTTGAGGCGAGAGCTTAAAGTGGCGTATCACGGGCCCAGGCAAAACAATCACTTTTCCAAAATAATATGCGAGAAAGTTAGCGTTGGCGGCCTCGTCGAAACCATAGAGGCATCGCAATTTTCCCTGTCAGGACGAGACCCGACAGGGAAGTTTGCGTTGCCTTAGGCCGTGGGTAAAACCGGCGAAGAAAAGTTTCAAGTTTTCCAATTCACTTCTCCCCGCTTCCTATCCTTCAACGACGCTTTAATCAGTTTCGAAATCGGAAGGATCTGCGTGCACCGATTGAAGATGAATTGAGTGGCTTGAAATAATAGTCAGACTATCCTATTTCTGAGTTTCTGAGAAAAAGTTCTTGTGCAATATTTTGGACGAATGAAATAGTGATATTGAATTACTAATATTGTAATGATAATTAAATACTAATATTACAATTATTAATATTAATAGGTAATAGTAGTTGATATTATTAATAATATTGTAATATTAGTAGTTAATTAATGCAAGAATATTTCACAAAGGCTTTCTTTCCTTGGAAATAAGCGTTAGATCATTATTATTCACTCGGTTCACTGATTTGAGAAAAAAAGTGAAATATTCTGGATTAATTAAATACTTATTACATTACTAATATTACTAATATACATAATTAATAATAATTAATATTAACAATATTGTAATTACTATTAAATACTAATACTACAACCATTAACATTAATAATCAATGATAATTGATATTACTAACACCACTGTAATATCAGTATTTAATTATTCCAACGTTTCACAAAGACTTTCTTGCCAGGAAACTTCAGAAATAGAGGCTAG